TACTTGTAATATTATTGTTGTACTTATATACTTGTAATATTGTACTTATATACTTGTAATATTGTACTTATATACTTGTAATATTATTGTTGTACACATGTCGCGCACAAACTACACTCATAACTTATTACATAATAAATATATAAATCTATATATTTACTAACAAATATAAATTTATGTTATTAACATTTATATATTTATATATTGTTTTAGATTTTTGTAAATCATTGTCCAAGTCTGAAGAACTAGGTGATTTATCTAATATTTCTTCAGAAGAAAGTGAGTCGGAGAAAGGATTTCATCATCCTTTCCTTATAAAGGAAAGATCTAGTTCTATTATAATGAATATTCGGGTTGGTAGCCTTTTTTTACATTATATTACAATAATCTTTTACATTATTAAAATTATAAGCCTTGTTTCGCAAATATTTAGAACTTTAAAACTTGAAACTTATGTTATTTATCTGTTTAGGATGCAAAACAGTTGCCAACAAAAACGTTTCAAGAAAAAACAGCTGAGACATCAAATCAGTTGCGATTGCAGTTTCCTGTGTCTAGTGGACAACATCACAGAAGGAGCGGTAAGGGAAAAGACTTAATTCGATTTTTTATGTATGTGTATGTTATTTATATGTAACATACAATACTTTTGCCGTTAGAAAACGAATGGATACCTGTTACACCTGTAAAAAAACCAGAACCAAAAAAAATATTCGTACCAGCTACCTCAAATGAACCATTCCCAATGCTACCAGCACTTCCTATGCCTCAAACAGAACAGCTTCCTCCGCAACTTGTACAACCCGTGCAACCTGCACAGATTACACAAGCTTCTCAACCTTCGCAAGTTGTTTTCCCGACAACAACAGAAGTAAGAAAAAAGAAATCAAATTATTTTTATGATACATGTGTTACACAATCAATATTATTATTTTTAACGTTAAATTGCTAAAGGTTATAGACATTGGCTCTATAGTATCTGAAAGACTAGCGGCTATGAGAAGATTAAAGGAAGATCCAAACGATATAAACGCTCTGAATGCAATGCAGCGAGCGCAAAACGAGGTAAAATAAAAGAATATAATAAGTTGTCACAAATAATATAATAATATATATATATTTGCTTTTTTATTTTTATACAATAGTATATTTCCTGTATTATCTACCTATGTACGGTATTATAGATGAGAATGTGGGCTGAAAGCAAACAGATGCCAGGTCAGTTTACTGGTAGCACAGGAGTTAAAGTGCTTACGCCTGCAGAACTATCTTCAGGTTGCCAAGCCTGGACACGCAAGGTAAAATTTATTATATACTTTTTATTCCAGATTATTTTACAGAACTTATTTCCAGATAGACAGACCATCTCTGCAAAAATTTTCTCTTTTACATGATGCATTTTCAAATTGGACATGTTCCTATATTTTGCAAAACAGCTATAAATTTTTTCATGTTTAAATTTTCTACTTTTTATCAGGTAAAAAAAATCAGTTGCGATATGTAAATGCATCATTTATATATGTTCATTATGATTTCTTTGTCATTATCTCTAAACAGTGGAACAGGTCTGAATATTTTTTTCAAGATCTGATCACATTGTTTAGTGCTACACCACATAGTGATATTGCCTGTAACAAGTTTTCAGGTACAGTCTACTAGGGTCAATAAAAAAAAAAAAAGTTAATGTTGATTTTAGTGAAGACTGTTGTAGGCACAGACTATTTCTATCTGTAGATATAGAGATGGATTCTGTGCCTGCATAGACGCAGGAGCATTATTATTTCAATATAAATCACATGACAACTTTTAAGCTTTATACTATGTTTCAATAATCAAAATCAAAATATCATCAACGAAAACAATTGTTTAAAGATATTGTTATAATGTATGTGTATTTATATATTTTTTTTTTATTAAACTAAAACTGCATTTACAAATAATGAATTTATGATATAACTGAATGAAATAATAAGCTCTTGTCAGATTATTGCTAATTATCGTCAGCTTTCTATAGGATTTCACCAAGTGCTACAGTATGTTGCTTCTTAATGGTAAAGCTGGGATAGTTAGCATTAGTCTACATCCACCTGAGGATTTGTTACAGGCACATAACTATAACAGAAAAGAAACAACAACGGCAGCTTCATGAAGACATTTATATATTTCCGTAAGTATCCTTACACAAATAGATAATTTATAAATTGTCATAATTTATATATATATATGTACACATATACACACATATAGATATAAATTTGTTAAAAATATAAAAAAACTTTAAGTAAAAACACTTAAAAATTAAAAGACAGATAAAAAGACAAACAATGAAATATATCTTTGTAATACATCTCTGTTATATTTTTATAATAAGAATTTTAATTTATCATGTATGTGTTTAACTTATCATGTGTGTGTATGTGTATGTTTTGTTGTATTTAATATACATTTTTCTCTAACAGTGTTGTATGTATATTGATTCTTCATGAAGAGATGTATAACTTAAAAAAAAAATCACACTTTGTAATTTATCTACAGCGTCAAAGCAAGTATTCTCTATTATCTGATTCTCCGAAATATTTAGGACCAATTAGTATCGGCACAACCTGTATCAGGTGGAATGGGTATGGCCTTACTGCAGAAAATGGGATGGCGGCCGGGTGAGGGTCTAGGCAAAAACAAAGAGGGTGCCTTGGAACCATTACAAATAGAAGTCAAATTGGATAAAAGAGGATTAGTCTCTGAACAAGATATTGGTCCAAAACTCGGCAAAACTACAAAACCTGTAGTGCCAACCATCAAGACGTTAGAAGGTATATCAAATATATTATCCACTTCAATAACATGTAAAAGACTTAGTTTCTATGTTTTGCTTTTTAAATATATTATCGGTAAATATTTCTAACAAACCATATGTGTTTTATTCAATTCAGTTAAATTAATCTTTGCAATTATTTCAGGCAAACATCCAGTCTCACTTTTGGGCGAATATTGCTCAAAGAAAAAACTCGGTCCGCCAGCCTATGAACTATGTTTTGAGTGTGGACCGGATCATAGAAAGAATTTTCTATTTAAAGTAAGCAATGTTATAAATTAAGTAAACTATGAAATTAAATGTACATATTTTGCAAAATTTACACGTATATATGTGTACATGTATACATATATGTACAATATATACATATGTACAGTCGGCGTCAATGAATCGTTTCGTGGACGCGGGGAGCTAAGGGTAAGAGGGACGGTACTCCCTAGCAGTAAATACTGTAATTGGTCAATTCATTCGAGATCTGCTGCAGTTAGTTAGTACGGCGCCCGTTGGAAGTACTTACTGCTAGGGAATACCGTTCCTCTTACCCCTAGCCTTCCGCGTCCACGAAACGAATCCATGACGCCGAGTGTACATACACCCACGCACACGCACACGCACACAAAGGGTGTCTGAAAAATTTTGACACAAGATAGATTGGGTCAATCTAAACAGAAAAGTCTTGTACCGTTTTGCAAAATTCGCAATAGGTATTGAGTGATTAAATAACAAATGTAATCTAATGAGTGCATGGTAAGCAATAGTTCGGATTCTGTAGACGTGTATAAAGTCATGACTTTTTGGTTCAGATTAATCCAATCTACCTTCACACTTCGGCTGTGTCAAAATTTTTTAGACACCCTATATATACATGATGTCCCAGAATTGGTGTAACATCTCTCATAGACGGGTAAAAGGAATAAAACTGAGTCGATAAGTCCTGTACATTTTCGCAATAGTAGATCTTAATTAACAAAGATCCGCAAATAAGCGTGCTTATTCGCTGATCTTTGTTAATTAAGATCTCGGTAACTATTGCGAATCTAGCAAAATGGTATAGAACTTTTGGACTCAGTTTTACTCCTTCTATCTGTCTACGAGAGATGTTACACCAATTCTGGGACACCCTGTATATTATATATACAGGGTGTCTTATTTTAAAAGACCCATTCAAATACCTCAGAAACACTGCGTTAAATTGACAAACGTTTTGGACAAAAGTTTTATGACTTTGAGGGAAACATAAGATGGTACCATTGATTTGACTTTGGATCGCGTTGTCAAGGTCAGGGCAAGGTCACTTAGATTTTTTTAAACGAAACTCTCCAATTTGCATCGCATATTCTCGTAGCTTATCTCGAGAGCTTTTCAAAACACTAAATTAAGTACTTTTTGAGTTATAAGGCTGAAAACTTTTAGGATTAGTACCGTCGCCATTAGCATTACCGAGATGTACCACACGCGGAAGTTGCTCAGTCAAGGATTTACATTTCTTTTGTTTTCCGAGAAAGATCGGAGGATGATCCAGCTAATGCTTTCATTGGCTAACTTTCAAGCCTTATGACTCAAAAAGTACTTAACGAAAAATAAGTACTCTATTATAGCGTTTTAAAAAGCTCTCAAGGTAAGCTTGAAAAATATGCAATGAAAATTGCGGAGATCCGTTTAAAAAAATCCAAGCGACCTTGCCCTGATCTCGACAACGCAACCCAAGATCAAATCAATAGTATCATCTTATGTTCCTCTCAAAGTCATAAAACTTTTGTCCGAGATATTTGTCAATCTAACGAAGTATTTCAGAGATATTTGAGTATATCTTTTTTACAATGGGACACCCTGTATATATTTATATGTATTTATATATGTGTACATATATATATACACACATATATATATATATATTTTTTTTATATTCTAGGTTAAAGTAAATGGCATCGAATACAAACCGAGCGTTGCAAGTCCTAATAAAAAACAAGCAAAGGCGGAAGCAGCTCAAATATGTCTGCAAAGTTTAGGTTTATTGCCTACCTAATTTATATGAACTATATATTATACATGTAGAGTAGTTTTAAAGTTTCTGAATTGGCAATTATAAAACCAATTATAATTTTTATTTTATATTTTTCTCAATGTATATAATATAGGCTTTAATGAAAGTATAGATTCAAAGTTATTATCATCGTACATATGTATACATATACAGGGTGTCTGAAAAATTTTTCACACGACCAAAGTGTGAAAAGTAGATTGGATTAATCTTAACTGAAAACTCATATACCATTTTGCGAAATTTGCAATATTTATTGATTGATTAAGTAATACATGTGATCCAATGAGCGCGTGATAAGCGATGACGGTCCGGACTCTTTAGGTGTATATGATTTTCAGTTGTGAAAATCAGCCTATCGCGAGAAGCTGTGTTACTCGCCACTTGCTTGTTTGCTCCGCCTCTTGCTCTCTTCGTACCTTAGGAAATTGCATGAAGTAAGCCAATTTTTTTTTACAAATGAAAATCATACACGCCTACTAAATCCGAACCATTGGTTCCCACGTGCTCATTTGGTCACATGTATTAATTAATCACTCAATATCTATCGCGAATTTTGCAAAATGATACAAGACTTTTCTGTTCGGATTGGCCCAATCTATCTTCACATTTCGGCTGTGTAAAAATTTTTCAGATACTTTGTACACACACGCGCATGCGCGCGCGTATGAACATATTTATATAGAAAAATATACAAAAATTTGTTTGAAAAGTGTAACGATTTTTAAAGTGGTTTTGTCGCTACCAGCAAAGACTGTAAATTCAGATTCAATGGACAAAACAGTATTTAAAACAAATTGATTATTATTATGTTGTTACTTAAAAGTTAAAACTTTGCAGGACTGTGTTATTAACAGACCAGATTGCACAATCTCCGTTAACGCAATCGATTTATTTTCGTATCAATGCTTCATTCAGTCAATTATTAATCAATCAGTAACATTTAAGTGTTTAGTTAGCTTAGGTAATCTAATTACAATTATTGGAGTTTACTTGGTTTTCGACCCAAACAGTTATTATTCTGAATTTTATATATAATTGTATGTAATTCAATATTTCTTTCAATACTATAGAATATATGATATATAATCAATAATAGCCGAATATATATAAATATTAAAGAATAATAAAAAGAATTTGATAAAAAGAACTTGAATTATACAAGATGGCCGCGTTCAACAAAACAAATCATAGCGCCTGTTCGGTTATTACTGGCTGCTTTCCTTTTAGGAGACACAGTCGACACAAAAGTCATTCTGTCTTCGTTCGGTATTCAGTGAGAAACGAAGACAGAATGGCCGCGTTCAGCAGAACTCAGCGCTTAGTAAGCGCTTTACGCTTATTGTCTGTGATTGGTCTCTTCTTGTAAATCCGCTGGAAATATGAAAGTATATTCCAATGACAAGCAATAAGCGTAAAGCGCTTACTAAGCGCTGAGTTCTGCTGAACGCGGCCAATGACTCTTGTGTCGACTTGTGTCGACTGTGTCTCCTAAAGGGTCGTCTACAATGGAGAGTTGTAGGCCGTAATAGTAAGAAATTGACCAATCACAGACAAAGTACAGAAGAATAATCGATTGTGATTTGTCAATTTCTTACTGTTACGGCCTACAACTCTCCATTGTAGACGACCCTTTAAAGAGAAGCCTGAGAGCGGCCATGCCATTGTAGTTTCTTAAACCTGTTCTACAATACAGTCGTAAGTCGTAAGTCGTACAAAATTGACCAATCACGGATCAATTACAAAAAAATAATCGATTGTGATTGATCAATTTCTTACGACTTACGACTTACGACTGTATTGTAGAACAGGCCTTACGACGGTTTCAGTCGCTGGTTTTAGCCGTATTTCCACAAAATTGGAAATTAAAGGCTGTACTACATTAAACATGAGTGGCGGATCTCGTGGAACTGATCAATCANGTTGGTCGATTGGCTGATTTGCCTCTGCAATTGGTCAATTCCACAAAATCAACGACTCACGTTAATTGTAGAACTGGCTTTGAGTTCCACTTTTGGAAATACGGCTAAAACCAGCGGCTGAAACCGTCGTAAAGGCCATTCTACATAAGACGCAGATGCAGTGCGACCGACGGTGACCGAGGAGCAGGTGCAGCTACTCCGCGAAGTGCGCGAGTTGCAAGAGCGCGCACTTCAGACGGACGGCAGTGATGGCAACATGGAGGAGCAACACCATAATGAGGATACCGCAAGCGAAGCGCAGGCACAGCTCGACCGAATCATCGGGACAGCCCGAAAGTATAATTACTTTTTGCTGTCGGATTAAACGACATTTAGATTTGGACAGTCCGTAATTATAATCAATTTTTGCTGTCGGATTAAACGACATTTAGATTTGTACAGTCCGTAATTATAATTAATTTTCGCTGTCAGATTAACCGACATTTAGATTTGGACAGTCCGTAATTATAATTAATTTCCGCTGTCGGATTAACCGACATTTAGATTTGGACAGGCCGCAATTATAATTAATTTTTGCTGTCGGATTAAACGACATTTAGATTTGGACAGTCCGAGAGTATAATTAATTTCCGCTGTCGGATTAACCGACATTTAGATTTGGACAGGCCGCAATTATAATTAATTGTTGCTGTCGGATTAAACGACATTTAGATTTGGACAGTCCGAGAGTATAATTAATTTCCGCTGTCGGATTAACCGACATTTAGATTTGGACAGTTCGAGAGTATAATTAATTTTTGCTGTCGGATTAAACGACATTTAAATTTGGACAGTCCGTAATTATAATCAATTTTTGCTGNCAGTTCGAGAGTATAATTAATTTTTGCTGTCGGATTAAACGACATTTAAATTTGGACAGTCCGTAATTATAATCAATTTTTGCTGTCGGATTAAACGACATTTAAATTTGGACTGGCCGCAATTATAATTAATTTCCGCTGTTGGATTAACCGACATTTAGATTTGGACAGTCCGAGAGTATAATTAATTTTTGCTGTCGGATTAAACGACATTTAAATTTGGACAGTCCGTAAGTATAATCAATTTTTGCTGTCGGATTAAACGACATTTAAATTTGGACAGGCCGCAATTATAATTAATTTCCGCTGTCGGATTAACCGACATTTTGATTTGGACAGTCCGTAATTATAATTACTTTCCGCTGTCAGATTAAACGACATTTAGATTTGGACAGGTCGCAATTATAATTAATTTCCGCTGTCGTATTAAACGACATTTAGATTTGGACAGTCCACTGATTTGGAGCGTCACTTGCCAAAATCGGAGATTTAAATAATTTACAAAATTTATTTATATATGAGTAGCTTAGTAATAATGCTACTATGTATTGAAAGACTTTTGCGATTCGACTTCAAAACCGTAATCAGCAATATCAAAACCTTCTAGAAATACCATTTTTCAAAATATAAAAATTTTATACTTTTTACTTCCGTTTTCTGCCTTGCGCCGATCGAAGCTAGATAAAACTTAGGGCACTCCACACAATATAATAAACTCAATTTATATACAAATATGGAGGAAAAAATATGTTTTTAGAGAGAAATTTATTTTTATTCTCCCAGTAAAAAATTTTTCCGTGTATAAAATTGTATGGACATATTCGGTATATATATATAAATTTGCATAATTAGATATAATAAGTTTATTTTGTGTACAAGTATATATAATATTATATATCAAAAATTTTTTAAAGATATAGTAAAAATATTGTTTTATATAATTTTTTTGTATCTGACATGATACTAATAGTTAGTTTGTAATTTGATATGGAATATTTCTGAAGCCATTTTTTTAAAAAAAGAAATTCTCCGTGTATAAAATTAGATGGACATATTCGGCATATAAATTTGCATAATTAGATATAATTATTTTAATTTGTGTATAAGTATATATATATATATATATATATATATATATATATATATGAAAAATGTTTTACCGGGAAAACTTCTGCTTTTAGCATTAAGTTACATGATTTTACAAAACATGCTTGGCTATTAAAGTATCACTATGCAATAAACTGAAAATTCCGTATTTGACACTTATATAATTTATACGAGTACGTAGGAAGTAGGAAGTGCGGATCTGTAATATTCGGTTACGTTACATTTAAAATAAGTGTAACAATTGTTTAATGAAATATTTACACGTTGAGTCTGCATTTTTTGCACCTTCAGATTTATTTTACAAAGCGCGTACACAGATACATAAAAAAACGTTTATAGTTTTTTTTATAAATTATATACTTGGACTTGGTTAGGTGGCATGAGTGTGAGCGTACGAAATGCGAGCGAATTTTATGAGATATTTGTAATACAAGTAATAAACATAGTATAAAGTAGAGATCTCGACACATTAACACAAGAGGTAATGTAGGAAATAAAGGTAGGAAGTGTTGTTAATATTGTAATCCAAGTTCTTTCTTGACCTTCTGTGGCTGAAGTAAATAAACGATACAATTTACATAAATTATATGCTTTGATATGACTTTGATATCAAATGACATTTATATTAGTTTATTCTTAAATGTTTAGCTATTATGTGAAAAAAGTATAGATAATGATAGCAATACTGAAACAACAAAAACAAACTGATTATATTGAATCAAGGTCAAACCGGAACTCATCATCCCATTGGATCCAGAAGAATCCATCCAATCAGTTTCATGGTGACTGAAAGGTTGTTTAGAAGTTATCGGATCTTCTCGCGAGAACTCCGAGCACGGCAATTTTTCCGGCTGTAGTTCAAATAAATGCTTTATGCAGCACATCTTGTCCTCGCCGTAGATCTATGAATAAGTAAGAAGTTAATATCACTATATCAAATAAAACCAATCTACTTAAGAGGGTACTGGATACCGACTATAGAGACCTGTAAATCGACGTTTTAATATTTCGTTTTGTGCCGTATTTACTGCATCAAATCCAAAATGCTTCTACAGAAATAAGTAAATTATGCTAAGAGTTTGCTGTTGTTCTTTAAAATGTCAAAATTCAGCATAAATTTTTTCTTATACAGTTTTTTTCTATAACCTCACCATATATTCATGTATATAAAATTATTTCTAAGCTTATGTACGTATTTACACTGAACTACAGCAATACGTACGACACAAAACAATCTAATAAAACACTCAGAATATGATTTGGTTGTCTAATTGATGCACAAAAAGTAATATTGTGATGATGTGTATTT